GATTTTTCCAATTACAGAGAACTTTATTTAATTTTATTATTTTACTATCATTCTTTTCTTCTTTTTCTTCTTTTCAAATATGCCAAATATAATGCTTACATTATTGAAACTTGCGTTTGATTTCATTTTCGAAGAATCCCTAAGTGGTTCCTTCACAACACTTGTGTATCCTTATGTTTGTAAATAATAAAGTGAAGATTTATTAACCCCGTAACACGACGACGACGACCGTAGTCGAAAATATATGTTGATTTGTACATCCATTTCAACTATTAATTAGTACGAATCACATATATGAAAAATACTTAGAAGTATCCCATGCTACATGTCATACTGTGCATGGTTTATTTCAATTGAATACAAGAATATCGTATGTCATACAGAATAAAATATCATAAGGGAAACAAAACAAATACTACACAAAGTAATTATCACATTGAATTAAGAAGGAAGTAACGTTGAATAAAATATTACAATGAGTAAATCGATCTAATTTTGACTTTTCTTCCCGTCATATCAGCTTGACCTGGTACAACTACCACACTACTGTAACCTTCGCATTTAAAGATTTTGAGTTGTTGAATAAAATTATGGACTCTATACTGCTTGTGTCAACATTTGAGTCATGTGATGAACCAAGGGAGACATACAAATAAAATCTGAACTTCAGGGTCAATCATCCCTGGTAGTGAAATGAACATTAGCTTGGCAAACTGACATGATGTGTCCCGTCTTAAACATTTAGCAATCTTGTGCTCATTTTTGTTTATTACTTTTAAATTTTTCCTCGGGTTGTCCCTGATATTTTCACGAGAATGGAAGTTATCGTTATTTAAACCCCCACCATCACTGAGGATGGGTCGGGTTGTAATAACTAAATAATTTAGTAGAATTATTGATGTACGTTTCATGCACTGTATCATTATCAATTAATGTACTTCTAGCATCTTGAAGAAAAACTTTCGACATTTGTATCAACTATCTTTCCAGACTTGGTATGATAATTCCTGCCGTCAGTCAATCAAATAAATAGACAAGAAGTTGATAACAGTATTACACCTGACAACTTGTTTCTGAAATTCAATGATAAATTTCCTAATCTGATTGTTCTGACGAGTCATTATATCAAGTTTCGTTCTTTCAGGGCATTCGAAATTTGTATAGTTTACGTGATTCACCAGTAGTTATTTGAGTTTCATAGCGAAGTAAAAAGGCTTATCTGCAGCCATCGTTTCCGACTACTGTAAGATAATAAGCAACGATTTTATCATTTCTATTATTTTTCCTGAACATACAACAGATTTCAAACCTGTATATGTAATCCTCGAAAGCTTCAGAATTTGAGTGTATATCCAAACGTTCAATCGCAGAATCCATCTCAATGTCAGCATGTTATTGAAATTATTTAAAATGATTTTCTAATAATCCTCGAAATGGTACAAGTTAATGCAGGTATGCTTAAATCAGCACAACTGTGCGTATTATATTTAGAGTTCATAATAGCACAGAATAAATTACAAAGAAACAAACAGCTGGTACAAATATAACACAGATCTAGGTCATCTTAGATCACCGATGTAGTTGACCCCTTTTTGATGATAGCGGTCTACTCAAGCTGGACATTATTGTTATAACCTTTTAGCCCACGTCGAAGCCAAATCACACAAGTATTATCTAAACTGGAATATCTATTCGTGGTATCCAGGTACTTTGGTTGCTAGATAGAAGGAACCCAAGCTCACTAGAGAAATGCCTTAGTAAAGACAAAATACAAAGAGAGATAGCGAACTCTGCCGCTTGAGCCAGGCAGTGACGTTCAATTGACCGGTTTCGCGCAAGCTAACCTTGAACATGACAATGTTGGACAAACCATCAAGCAAAAAATGATGGGACTAACATAAAAGGTACTATATTCCTTCAGAACGTAATCAGGTAAATAAAGCAACTCAAGTGAATACTGCCAGACATACCTTCATGTCAGATGAAGAAGAATCCACAACAGCCACAAAAACATTAGAGAATAACAGAAACGCTACTGAGTATCCAAAGCTGACGGTAAGGTATTGGTGTATTCTCATTTCAAAAAACATGAATGCGATACTAAAGACTGTAAGAATTTAAAGCTAAGAGGACACATGTGATATGAGGTTTAAGATTATTTCATGAAGAAATTATACGACGGTAAGAATGTCTACAAAATAAATAGTTCTGTAAGTTCTCGACATTGATGAGGATCTGATTAGTTTTCACAGACACAGTTAACTGAAGGCGCTCGGTAACGTATGTGCACCAGATCACGAAAGGGTACGCCGTACTACATAACCCTTGCAAATGCTAGCCAGTCTAGACACAAAAATTCTCGACATACCGACAACCTTCCAACTATACTTTCGAACCACTTCATCTCTAACTTCTGATGTGACCGGGTTGGCATGTTTTACTATTATTACGCAACAAAAATAATACAGCGTCCACTTTGTTTTGTAATTCACTTGCACACACGAAATATAACGGAAACATTTCAACGTCCAAAGGGAAGTGCAACCATGGTGACGTGCTTACTTACTTATTTACGCCTGTTACTCCCAATGGTGCATAGGCCGCTGACCAGCATTCTCCAACCCACTCTGTCCTGGGCCTTCTTTTCTAGTTCCATCCAATTCTTGTTCATTTTTCTCATGTCTGTCTCCATTTCTCGGCGTAATGTGTTCTTTGGTCTTCCTCTTTTCCTTTGACCTACAGGATTCCATGTGAGGGCTAGTCTTGTGACGCAGTTGGGTGCTTTCCTCAATGTGTGTCCTATCCACTTCCAGCGCTTCTTCCTGATTTCTTCCTCCGCTGGGATCTGGTTTGTTCTCTCCCACAGTACGTTGTTGCTAATAGTGTCCGGCCAATGGATCTGAAGTATTTTGCGTAGACAATTGTTAATAAACAGCTGTATCTTCTGGATGATGGCTTTCGTAGTTCTCCAGGTTTCCGTCCCATACAGTAGAACTGTCTTGATATTTGTATTGAAAATCTTGACCTTGATGTTGGTTGACAGTTGCTTTGAGTTCCAGATGTTCCTCAGTTGTAAATATGCTGCTCTTGCTTTGCCGATCCGCGCCTTCACATCTGCATCAGATCCACCCTGTTCATCAATGATGCTGCCCAAATACGTAAAGGTTTATACATCTTCCAAATCTTCTCCGTCAATTGTGATTGGATTGGTGCATTCTGTGTTGTATCGGAGAATCCTGCTTTTCCCTTTGTGTATATTGAGACATACTGCTGCCACACTGTTCGTCTTCTCCTGAATCTGTTGTTGCGTTTGGGATAGAAGGGCCAGATCGTTTGCGAAGTCTAGATCATCCAACTGCATCTTAGATGTCCATTGTATCCCGCGCTTCCCTTCAGACGTTGACATCTTCATGATCCAGTCGATCACCAGGAGAAAGAGAAAGGGTGAGAGTAAGCAACCTTGCCTAACACCGGTCTTCACTTCGAACGACTTTGTCAACTGTCCTCCATGCACAATTTTGCAGTGTAATCCATCATATGAGTTCTGTATGATGGTGACTATCTTCTGAGGCACGCCGTAGTGTCGAAGAAGTTTCCATAGTGTTGTTCTGTCCACGCTATCAAATGCCTTTTTGTAGTCAATGAAGTTGATGTAGAGTGATGAATTCCATTCAATTGATTGTTCCACAATGATCCGTAGAGTTGCGATTTGGTCTGTACATGATGTATCCTTACGGAATCCTGCCTGTTGGTCACGAGGTTGGGCGTCTACGCAGTCCATCATCCTGTTTAACAATACTCTGTTGAAGACTTTTCACGGTATTGAGAGAAGAGTGATGCCCCTGTAGTTATCACACTTGCTGAGATCGCCTTTCTTCGGTATTTTGATCAGGAGTCCTTCTTTCCAGTCTTTTGGTACTTGTTCCTCATCCCAAATCTTATTGAAGAGAATGTGGAGTATCCTTGCAGTTGCCGCTACGTCTGCTTTTAGTGCCTCTGCTGGGATGTTGTCCGGTCCTGCCTCTTTGCCACTCTTGATTTGTCTGATGGCCATGCTGATTTCTTCAATTCTTGGTGGGCCAACATCGATTGGGAGGTTCGTGGGTTCTACTTTGATGTTGGGTGGGTTCAGTGGAGCTGGTCGATTCAAGAGTTCTTTGAAGTGTTCTACTCACCTGTTTTGTTGCTCTTCAATGTTGGTGATTACCTTGCCTTCCTTGCTTTTCACTGGTCGTTCTGGTTTGCGGCGATTACTAGAGAGTTTCTTTGTCGTGTCATACAATTGTCTCATGTTTCCTTCTCTTGCAGCCTTTTCCGCCGTCGTTGCTAAATCTTCCACATATTTACGTTTGTCGGTTCTGATGCTCCTCTTCACTTGTTTGTTTACTTCTGTGTATTCAGCTGTGTCTTGGCTTTTTCAGCTCTTGTTCGACTGGTATTGATTGCTGCCTTCTTGTTCCTTCTTTCTTGAATCTTATCCAGTGTATCAACAGTGATCCATTCTTTGTGATGGTGCTTCTTGTGACCCAGGACCTCATGACATGTTGAAGTGATTGCCTCTTTGATCCTCTTTCAGTTGCTCTCCACAATAGTTACTTCTCCATTGAGTAGATCATGAAAGGCCTGGAACTTATTGCTGAGGACTATCTTGAAATTGTTGAGTTTGTTAGTGACGTGCTTAACTCCAGATAATCCAATTAAAATCAAATGGTAACACTTTCAACCTTTTATAAGAACTTCATTAAAACATGAATGGAATATTGTGTCACGTGGAACATAGCTGAGTATCTAGAATATCGGAAAAGAGATCACTTCGTGCAGGGATTCTCAAGACATTTGCAATAAATAATGACCTTATTTAACATACCCCTTAAAATGTTTTGATTAGATGGCACTGATCACATCACTGAGTCTGAAGTTTTATTTCTAAACAGAAACGTCAACGGATACATACCTAAAAGATGCGCAACTCATAGATAGGTGGTATTTTGATATTGTACATTGAGGATGTTTCACACCATTTATCGCGCGTGCCCTGAATTCGCAACAAATATGGGGCGGTGAGTTATTGAGTATTAGCTTTTGTTTCTATCTTTACGTTCTGCTTGAAACGTTCATTTAAATATATTGTTATTTTAAGTACCATTAAATTCAGTCTAGCAGGATATACAGGACAAATTGTCACGAACCGACCGACAGCATCACACTTTCGTGGTATATGTGTTTACCGTTATCAAACTCCAGTTCTGTTATTCATTTGTAGCTCTAGGCATAGTCGACCTAAACATATCAACCCCCTGGTAGTATTCATATTTCTTAACCTACGGGTTAAAATAATAAACAGTACGTCGGCTCCCGATTGATAGACGGGTCAAAGGTCTGCGTAAGTTTGCTGTGGTGTTTTTACCCAGAAGCTTGTTGGCTGAAAAATTACACTAAATTGTCATTGCGGTTGGCTTTCTGAGGTGATTTTCGTCTGGGAAATAGTTTTCGTTCAGTTCGGACATTTCTTCCGGAGAAAGAGATAACTATAAAAATCCACTTGTTTATCAACCCAAAATTTCCCCTACCTTGATATAATTGTGATTGGCATCAGTGTGTTAAATAAAGATGTCTTAACACTATTTTCGTCAGGTGGGAAATGACCTAGTGGTTCATGTACTCAATCTTAAACCAGCGAGTTCGCTCTCCGAGCTCCACTTTACTTTGGTTTACTCTTACTATTACAATGTATGGATTTCTGTTCTGATTCAATATATTCGTTTTGAAAGGTATTTTACATGGTTTTATCGTTGGTTGTGTGTTGATTGTTTCGCTGTAGTTTAGTGCTTGTAATGACTATAATAAACCTCCATATTTAGAACGTGATGTCATCTGGTTTTCAGAAATAAGTTAGTTTCTGTGTACAGTAATATGAGACAGACAATCCAAAAAGACATTTCAACCATCAGTAAAACACTCGTAAGAGAGCAGATACAAGGTGGGGTGTCTCAACTTTCTACATAGTACATTTGCCTGGTGAATACGTAGAATGTATCCCTGTCATCGCTCTGGCTAATCTTCTAGAAAGGCAGTAACATTGCGTTTTACCGTGATTTTAAGGCTCTGTAGTCGTGTTTCTTAATTTCTGGATTTCCGCACTGTTTAGTATCCCTAGTCGAGTTTGAGTAGTTCATGCATGCTGGTACTCAATTCTAGTTTTAGGACTCAAGTCACTCTAAGATATATATCGATAACTGCACATCATTTTCAATGCGCTTGTTAGTATTCAAGCAAGATATTTGCTCACCGACTGTCATAGTAAAAGCCTATCAAAAACTTCGGTGACCAACTCTTTTCTTCGACCTCTTCATAGTCTTTATCTGTGATGCATATTGTTTTGGCGCCGACTTGCTCCAATGTATTGTTTAAATAATTAAATAGATCAAAACACTACACCTATTCTTTTACACCATTATGTTCTGACCACTGCATCAATACGATATGATTCTCAGTTTATGCAACAATGAAATTGTCAGATGTAGTGGTATAACATAGTCGATGGGGCGTCCTGACGTCACTGTCAATTCAAATTCAGTCATAGCATCGTAGTCAGAATGTCCTGGAAATGCTCTGATTTCAAGCTCACTACACAATATTCAGCTGTGTCCACGACTCATACACTAAATCAAACCCTACAAACCACACATCAATCTCACGTGAATCATTGGCTTTGGACACGTCGGGTGCTAGCATCTTTATAAATTAAATCGCGCAACATGTACTTCGTCCAAAGAGGGAAAAGTGAATTTTATTACTTTTATTTCATGTCAATATACCGATTGCAACAAAAAATGAGAAACACAAACATAATTTGTAATAGGATTGAAGAATATATGAAGCAAATTGAAAGTTTCATCTTTTTGTCAGTGTTACGACGGAAGGATTGTATATCATTTCGTGGTGGCACGACGCCTAAAAATTAGGCCCAACAGTTCTCTTTTAGTTGCTTGAAAAATTAGTGACGTATAAACTACTTACCTCTAATGACTGCCAAGAGTTTTATCTCACCAAATATGCGAAACGTCCTTCATAACAGTACTTTGACGGGAAGTTAATTTCCTTGTAATCTAAATCGCTTCATTTACCGGTGAATGAGGATTTGAGTTAACATAGCTAATAAACATGAGTTTTTCATCCAGTGTGATGTGTCATTTTCGTAAAAGTTATCAATCTCCAACTAGTTAATGTAAGCTTTATCTTCAAATATATCCAGCTCGTAGCTTAGTATAAAACACTAACGTTTATTAGAAAAAGTACATATGACTATACATGATTATTGTGCTCATTTGTGTTTGAATTAATGATGTATTTCATTCATGAGGTTGAGGCCCACGTATTCGCTTTTGAGCCACAATGTATGCTAGGGTTAGTGAGGTCGAAACCGAAACACGTGTAGCTAGGTTTACACTTGGTACTCACTGGTTGAAAGCTGAGCGCTTTAATAACGAGGCTACAATTCCCCATTATCTAACACAAGTAGAGCGATGCTCAGAAACCCAAATGCAACCTATCTATATTTATTTCAATTAAAACCCAAGAAACAAACATTAGCGTCTCAAAGCCCTCTAAAATCTCGTTACTGCGAATACGTTACAGTTAGGGTAAATTAATACCGTTCAGCTGTTGTGCTTCCCGTTAATGAATTCTATCAATTCAAAATTATAAACAGAATCATAAATCGCCTAAGCAAACATCTGGGACAAGTTATTCAATATAATTAGGGGAAATTTTTAAAAATTAGATTGCAAACTGAGTACAAATAATTCTCATCTCACTGTCGGTAAAAGCTTAAGGCAACCAACCATAAATGAAGTCAAAATGAAGAAGAACTCTTGATGATAGAGACAGTCAATAGTTAAAGTGTAAGTCGGGATTATGATGAAACAGAGAAATTTTGTTGTATTCCTACAGAAAAGTATGTTACTTAACAAATAAAAATGAAAAGTAGCATGGACATATTTTTGTTGCTTTGTTGAATGCATAGTGTTTCTGAGAAGCTTCCCATTGCTTAAATAAACATGTTCTAGTTTTTTGGCCTAAACTACTTTACTTTATATGCGCTTATCTATCATGTGTTAAGTTTAATTATGTCTGATAATTACTGCTTTTTAGACGTCGAGATGACGATCATTCGCGTAACAGAAAACGTCGGTCGCGATCTCGCTCCCGCTCTCGTTCTCCTGTTCTTCCTAGGAGGGCATTTTCATCTACTTTAGAAGGGTCCCTACCTTTAGCTGCTTCGTTGCCAACATCTTCATTAATGGGTTCGTTACTAGCTGCTCAGGCAAAAGCAGCTGAAGAAGCGGCTGCCAAAGCCAAGGCAGAAACGTCTAAACCTGCAGTTGGTACTATGACTGCTATTGCGAATGCAGCAGCTGATATGATCAAAGCTGCTCGTAATTCTGGTCAAGGTATCGCAGGTATGGAGGGTGCTCTTGTCATTACTCCGAATATGGACAAAGATATTGAACAGCGTCGTCTTGATCTTGAAATGCAAAAGGTAGGATTCAACTAACTAATTCTGTTTTTTTTTTACTTACCACGATATCCCTTAATTTACGACTTTATGTTATAGAGACGAGAACGAGTAGAAAGGTGGCGACGAGAGAGAAGGCTCAAACAAGATATTCTTGCAGCACAACAAAGACTTGCAGAGAGCACCAGAGGAACTACTATTAATAAGTGGAATCTAGAGGATGATGAAGACGAAGAAGATGCAAATAAAAAGAATGTTCAGATGGAAAAATCTACAGAAGATGATGACGTAGATCCATTGGATGCTTATATGCAGGTGTGTCCTCGTAATGAACCTATGTTCTGTTTTTTTTTAAATGTTTGTTGTCGTTTGCTTTTGAGTGATTTGTCACGTGACTACAAACAATTAAAACTTTTTATAGATAGGAATTCTATGTATCTTGAATTCTTCGGATACATGAGTTTTTTAGTGTGTATTAAAATCTAATATACAAGATTCTAAGTCGTGTAACTGTTACTTGACAATTCAAAGCTAGACGCTTGTAACATTTTCGTATAATAGTTTTCGTCACTTTCATACAAGATGGCCAGTGATCGTTTCTTTTACAGTTTGTTGCCATAACACGTTGTTCTATATTCACCAATCCAGTAAGGATCAGTTCGACATCTTATTGTTCATATATTTTAGGTATATAAACACGGCTCGCTATTCACAATCTACAGCTTCTGTCTTGTTTCCTTTGACTGTCTGGGTTCAAATTTTGTGCTTGTAGCGGTTATGGTGAATTATATATTAAATATACGGAACATTTGTTAATTATAATATTTTACTTTATCCCAATAACGTAATATCTGTAAACGTACATTTGTGTACATAATTCTTCCTTGCGAATTTAATAGAGATATTACTTGTTGAAAATGGATATCATTTAGATAATGTTAGATCATGTTTTTCAGATAATACTGTCTTACATTTTATACATATATAGTCATTAATATAGAATGTTTGCTGTAAAATAAAGTAATAACACAGTATCACATATAAATCTCTGGTTTCTAATATTCCGGCGTACTTATGGACCTTCACCCAAGGTGTCATTTTTCAGTCCACTCAAACGATGAAGGACAAGCAAAGATGTGAGCTTTATCGGAAGTTAAGCATTTCAGGAGTTCATACTTCCATCATGGATCGTTGATAGAGAACTATCGAACCCTAAGTCTTAATTGTTCGTTTCCTGGAGTTAGTTACTTAGTAATTATACCTATTAATATTGTTTTATGTCAACTTGACATGTTCGTGTGCTAAGCTACTATTTTGCAACTCCAGCAGTGGAGGCTGCTGTTATCTTCTTCCCTGCCCGCTAACTAGAATAAGTTCAGGAATTTTATAGAGGCTCTGTCGATAAATACCAGTAGAATCCAAAATATATTTTAGATAATCGGTTGTATATCAATTATGATGACCATAGCTTAGGAACTAAGTAATTTTCAGTAAACACAAATCATAGTGAAAAATTCATTAAAAGGTCTATGGACAGAATAAATTAATGTAATGAAAATTCATCTCAAATCAATATTGATTTTCTTTCGCCCAAGTTGTATTTGGGAATTCACCACCTTCAACAGAGCCACCGTGTTTAGTGATGTAATGCTGCTTGATGTATCCCATATTGTGCTAGTCTGTCTTTTATGGACTAAAATGTAATCCTTATAGTTACAGGCCGCATAGTAGAACTTCTGGGAAGTAAGTTTTATTACATTTCCTTACAGGGTAACAACGGATGCCTCAATCTACCAATCCCTGTGGTTCAATGACCCGGTTCATTTTGGACGAGACAACTTTCTATATTAATTTCAATGGTTTGTGGAGTATTGCCGTTTATAAAATTGTCCTACCTTCAAAGTTCGTCCAAGAATCATTTTGTATGTATGATATAACCAGCTCATTATATGTTTGGACTTTCACTGAGTATAATCAATATCAAAGGACAAGTGTTATCCGGAGTCGATCCCTATATCAATTCTCATGAAACTCAACTTATAAGGTAGTTTCTGGTGTCTTTGATAAATAATTATTTTCAGTTTCTGCACCCACTCCTATAGGTTTCCTAGGAAGGCAGATAGTGTTTTCCACTTATTAGGATTAATCCACTGTTTTTTCTGCATTTCAGGAGTTGAATAACCAAGTTTCCGCTGGTCCTGAAACTACTAAAAAAGATACTAAAATTACTAAACAATCTGAAATTTCACTAAAGACTTCTAAAGATACCGATCACGCTTCTTCAGATCCTTCAGTCAAACCTAAACAACAGTTAGTAATTAAACGGAAAAGAATTATTGGGCGAGGTGAACTGATGGAAAGTAACATAGATGAATTAGAATATTCATCTGAAGAAGAAGACACAACAATTGAGGATGCATTGGCTCAGCTACAGAAAAAAGACAAACTTCAGCCTATTGATCATTCCAAAATTGAGTATTTCCCCTTTCGCAAAAGTTTTTATGTAGAAGTTCCAGAACTAGCAAAAATGTCAAAGGAGGATGTTAAAGCGTATAGAGCTAGTTTAGAAAATATCCGCGTCCGTGGTAGAGAGTGCCCTAAACCCCTACGCAATTGGGTCCAAGCAGGCATTAGCTCTCGCCTTTTGGCTTGCCTAAAAAGGTATGTTTTTTTTCAATCATCAACATTTTGTTTATTCGGTAAGTTACACAAAACTATCACGATTCCATTCCCGTTTTGGTTACTGGTTTTCGTACTAGTCAATTATTTTCACATTAAACATGCAAAAACTTTATAATACTATGAATCAATTGCTTACTATGTGATTTAGGCTTAATATTTGCATTTTTTGGTCATAGTTCTGACTTCTAAGTGTAATATGAATATGGTATGAGCCAGTAGGAGATACGCACTTTTGAGTCTATTGGCTTTTACCCAATTTTCCCTTGTTATAAATTTAGATGAAGTAAGAATAAGAATCATAGCAGAATAGTAAGAATCCACTTATTTCGCGAATTGTCTTCACCTGCTCAAAACCTAGAAACCATATCTATTTTTTAAAACGAATGCACATACTTTATATCAGTTATCAGAAAGTCTTCATAGAAGATTAATGAACAAACAACAAATATCAAAAAATTATCAGAAGCGTTCATGGTGTTGAATATTTACGCGTTAACTAATGTGGAGATTTTAGAAAAGGATAATTAATGTCCAAAGGTACGTAATAACAACGAAAAAAATTGCAAGATTAACAGAATAAAATCAGGAAAGGTTTGAAAAGATACATGAATATAGGAATTCATAATTGAAAAAAAGACATTACAATTATTGTTCATTTTCAAATGTAATTCATACGATTGATCAGATATTTGTATCGATAAGCTATTTAGCTCGGTTTATTTTCACTCAAATAACGTTCATTTAATCCTTTTTCTCAGGAATAATTTCGATAAACCCACTCCAATTCAGTGCCAGGCGTTACCCGTTATAATGTCTGGTCGCGATATGATTGGTATTGCCAAAACAGGAAGTGGGAAAACCCTAGCTTTTCTAGTACCGCTTATGCGTCACCTGGAACATCAAGCTCCTCTAAACCCTGGAGATGGCCCAATCGCCCTTCTACTGGCACCTACTCGGGAACTTGCACTACAAATATTTAAAGAAACAAAAAAGCTATGTCAAGCCGCCGATGCTCGCGCAGTTTGTGTCTATGGTGGGACTGGTATTAGTGAACAAATTGCTGAACTTAAACGCGGAGCTGAAATTATTGTCTGTACACCTGGTCGGATGATCGATATGCTTGCTGCAAATGGAGGTAATGGTTTAATCTAGAAATACTCAACTATTTATTTCCACTGTTCATTATCACAGAAGTTCACCACATCATCAGACTTGGAAGTTCTCCTAGGCAACATGTTTATCACAAGATTTGATGATCATAAGTTCCGTCCTGTTTCAGTTGCAGGTTCGTACAATATGATTGTGCATTAAATTGCAACTTGCTCACCCTTCTCGAATTAGCACACATCGCTTATCCAGGTCTCTGGAGTCTCAAAAGTTTAAATGACTGTTAACTCTGTTTTCATGTTTTATTATATAAAATCTAACATTTCGTCATTGTCTGTTAAAATAACAACTTTTATTGGATCATTTCCAATTAATTATTGCTAAATATAAAATGTTTAGTTTTAATCTTTTATTCCACTTAGACGAAAAATTATTACGTGAGGTCGTTATTAGAAATAGTACACCTTCAATATTTCGAGGGTGGTATGTATGTTTGGTTAATATTTTCATATACATCATTTTTTTCCAAACTATTTAGTTCATTGTTCTTTTAACTGCATAATTTGTGACCTGACATTTTCGTTTATCTTTTCAAAATCTAGGTAGAGTAACCAATTTACTTCGATGCTCTTATGTGGTTCTTGATGAAGCAGATCGTATGTTCGATCTAGGATTTGAGCCTCAAGTTATGCGAATCATCGAGAATTGTCGTCCTGATCGCCAAACTTTAATGTTTTCAGCTACATTTCCTAGACAAATGGAAATCCTTGCCCGTAAAGTGCTAACGCTTCCCATAGAAATCCAAATCGGTGGACGATCGGTGGTTTGTTCAGACGTGGAGCAGCATGCGGTGAGTGAAATCATACAACTTTGGCCTATCGTTGTAAAATAAAACCCAGTTGTAATATCGGGTTTGTAGCGCAATATTATTACCTTTCCACTGAGTGTGCTGAAGTAAAAAAAGATGGCAGTTTCAAAGTTGAAAGGTATATATATATATATATATATATATATATCGTTTCTTAGACTGGGTTGCGTGAGAATGTTACAGCTTTGTACCTAGATTAGAAATGAAGTAAGTGGTTTCTGAAAATTAGCAAGCATTGCAACATTTGTCACTTAGTTATATCTGTCGGAGATAAACTTCGAAAATATTCCAAGTAGTTTATTCTTAATAGAATACAAAACACTAACAACAAGAAACTGAAATAACGCCAAAACATTACTGATCACAAAAATCCCGTAGCAGAACTCATAGTTTACACCTCTCTTAAAAATCGTTGGGTGCATAAAATTTCGTGTTGTCTCTTACTGTCAGATAGGTTGATCAATATATTAGTAGATGTAATTAATTAACCATAATATCTAAGTTCTAGTTAATGTCAATTCAGTTTATGACTGCAATTATATTGTAAATAGATTTTAAACAAGACTATGGGTGATGGTCGCACAGCAATGCAAGGTGGCTGAAGTTAGAAATGAAAACGATTGTATACCAATTTAACGACCCTGAGGTTAAGCGCTCTCCACAACGACTTAATTCTCGGTGTTCGGTCCGTGCTGGGTTTGCGAATGCTCACTAATGAGTAGTCCCATACTCAGACGGATCACCTATCCAGTCCTTTCTGTTTTTCAGTGATTGTATGACCAAAGTCAGTCCGTAACTTGAAAATTCAAATTCAGTTTTTTTATAATAGGGTTAAAACACAGCTATTCAGTAAGTCTAGAGTTTCATAATTTATTGTTTACATCAAACTTCTGTAAATATTGTGTAATAGTTATCAGTCAGTCAGCTACAACGTAGGACCAGGCACATATGTGCATCGGTCCAGGTTGCCATACCGCACCAGCACAACAAGATGAACACCGGATTCATAGCAGTGGTTAGGTCAAAGGTAGTAATATGTAAGAGAAAGATTGCATATAGAGATATAGTACAAGAATAAAAAATTGGTTCGTAGAAAGAAAGATATGAAGCAATTTTAATCTCTTAGTTTAAACGAAGACAGGTAGTGTATACACCGACGCCATTGTGATCGGTTCTGAGCCATGTCACCAAGAGTCTCCAAGCATTGGTTACGAAAGTCACGCGGACCCCAACCAAGTAGTCTGCATCTACCAACATGGCTCAGACTAGAAGTTAGTGACTTCAGGCACTGATGCCACGTTTTGGTTTGGCCGCCCCTAACTTTCTTCCAGCCATCCCCTACCCCGGTTAGCATTGCACGTCGTGGTAATCGGTGTTCAGGCATACGTAATACGTGGCCCAACCATCTCAGTCGATGAAGATTCATAACCTCATCAACTGATTTACCATCCTTCCCTAATGCCCTGCGTCCAACCTCACTATTACTTACCCGGTGATCCCAGCAGACACCAGCAATATTTCTAAGGCATCTGTGGTCAAATACTAATAGCTTACGAGTGTCTTCTACTCTTAATGGCCATGTTTCGCTGCCGTAAAGTAAGACAGAACGGACTGCCGCACAGTATACTCGTCCTTTTATTGATAGACGGATGTCTCGCCTTCGCCATAGGTGACGCAAGTTGGCAAAAGCCAATCGAGCTTTTCGAATCCGTGCTGAGATTTCGTCAGATACCAACCCATCAGGGCTGATCAGACTTCCAAGATAAGTGAAGTTGTCAACGCGTTCGACTACTTCACTCCCTATCCTTAGTTCAGGTGTTAATGCAGACCAGTCCTGAAGCAACAACTTGCATTTCGAGGGAGAGAAGCACATTCCAAGCATTCTGGCATTGTTGCTTAGTGCTACCAGAAGACTCGCATTTTGTCAGCGTCTTCACCAAACAGGACTATGTCATCTGCGTATTCTAAGTCGATAAGTGGACCTCCTGGAAAGAGATCAATACCCGAGAACTCAGTCGACGAGAAAGTTATTTCCATCAGTAGATCTATGATGAAGTTAAACAAAAATGGGGAAAGTGGACAGCTTTGACAGACACCACTTGAGGTTGCAAAAGCAGATGACAGTTCGCCATAAGCTCTGACTCGATTGGTAGTGTTCGAGTAAAGAGCCTTCACAAGGTTTATGAACTATTGGGGTACGCCTTTCAATGACAGACACTGCCACAGAATCTCGCGGTTTACCGAGTCAAATGCTGCTTTTAAGTCGAGAAAGACCACCATTGTCGGACGCCGATAAGTATGCCTGTGTTCTAGAATCTGACGAATGGTGAACATGTGATCGATGCAGCCACGACCAGGTCTAAAGCCAGCTTGATTCTCTCGTGTTTGCAGTTCACGAGTCTTAGTTAGGCGTCTGATAACTATTGAGGCTAGTATTTTAGATATTATATTAGTTAAACTAATCCCTCTGTGGTTGTCACAGGATGTTTTTGACCCTTTCTTATATATTGGGACGATAAGTGATTGTGACCAGTTAGATGGAATAACGTCTAACTCCCAGTTTTTAGATAAAATATTAGTCAACCTAATCGCTAAAATTGAACCACCATCCTCAAAGACCTCTGGAACCAATCCATCTGGACCAGCTGCCCTTCTTCGTTTCAGATTAACTATAGCCTTTTGAACTTCAGCAAGAGTTGGGGGACCTACTTCAATGTTCCATTCACACTGTCTGGGAATGGAGGGTAGTTGTAGAGTAGCTGAAGGCCAGCTGAACTGTTCTCTGAAATGTTCCGCCCATCGTTCTAAACGCCTGGACTGGGAGCAGATGAGTGTATCGTCTTTTTCCGAAATAATCTCACTTACACTTGACTTATTAATTCCAGTTTCTTTTATTAGTCTGTAAAGTTGTCTTGTGTTCCCTATAGTCGCCGCCTTTTCCATCTCTTTTGCTTTCGTTGCCCACCACTGCTCACAGTCGTTTCTCAGACTTTTTCTTAACCTAGATCTGATTTGTTGTCGCTCTTCATCATGTTCAGAACCTGATGGGACGAGTTTGCGAGAATCCATCAGTGTGATAGACTTTGAAGAAATCCACTGGTTCTTTGAAACTCTGTGGTTTAAGTCGTTAATAGATGTCACTGCTGTTTCCACAGCTGATTGTATGCCCTTCCATGCAACATCTGGGTCAGCCTCGTCTTCACAACTACCTAAGTGTGACCTCAGTTGTTCCTGGAACCTACTTTTGGTTTTCTTGTTACTCAATTCAGTTCTAATGGGTCTTTTTAGTGTGGCTTTTTTGCGTCCGGTGAGGCGCAAGCAGATGCGTGCCCGTATTAGGACGTGGTCGGGGTCCAAGCAGGTACTCCAGAATGAGCGACAATCTTGTACCGACCCTCTTCAACGATGACTGATGGCAATATGGTCTATTTGAGTCGATCGTTGGTTTGGTGTAGGGGGTCGCCACGTTAGACGATGTCTCTTCTTATGCTTAAAATTTGTGTTTACTAAAAATAAGCGATTGTCTGAGCACAGTTGCAGCAGACGGTCACTATTATCTGTTCGCTGTGTCGGAATGCTAAAATATCCACTTAAATGCCTTTCTGTTTGGTTTAACCTACCTATCTGAGCATTAAAGTCACCTGCTACGAGTACTATGTCTGAGCGTTTAGCTTTCTGAAGAAGTTCAGAAAGCTTTCTGTAAAATTCATCTTTCACATCATCTGAGCTGCAGTCAGTGGGAGCGTAGGCAGAAACGACGAAAAGGCAACGACGTGTGTCCCTATCCTTCCGAGTTCTTACGGAGTCGTTTAGCCGAACAGCACATAGACGACTGTTGACGGGGATTCACTCTAGCAGTGCTTGTTCCGCCCTCATGCTTAGTGCTATCCCTACTCCTGCCAGTCGACGAAAGCTGGACATCGCGCCACCAGATACTCGTAGGGTGTATCTCGTTGGCGGAGGAGGAAGACGGAGGTTGATTAGGAATACAGTGGTCTTGGGTGCTGTTAGAGGTATGAAGGCGGTTATCACTTCTCGGTTGCCCACACCGTGGAAGGGTTAATTACTTCGTAGTTTTTTAACTAATCAATTCATATAATGTAGTTCACTTATTCTTCATTTTGATTTCAGTTCATCTTGTCAGAAGAAGAGAAAGTTTACAAAGTTCTTGAACTTCTAGGAATTTACCAAGAAGAGGGTAGTGTCCTTGTATTCGTAGAAAAACAAGAGAGTGCAGATGAGTTAATGCGTGTTCTTTTGAAGTATGGTTATCCATGTCTTTCTCTTCATGGTGGCATTGATCAATACGATCGCGATTCTGTTATAATGGATTTTAAGCGTGGCAATATTCGTCTTTTAATAGCCACATCAGTCGCTGCTCGTGGTCTTGATGTCACAGATTTGCTTTTAGTTATCAATTATGACTGTCCAAATCACTATGAGGATTATGTTCATCGTTGTGGGTAAGTTTTATATGAATTTGTAATCGTATGTGCTGTATTTTAACAGCAGTTCGTGTTTATTATTTCTGAACATAATTATAGTGAATTTTCTTGACTACTGGATTCATTTTGGCAGAATTATTCTTTTGGATAATTAAATGATAATATTAGTTCATCTAAAGGCCTTTCTAAATGCTATGATTTCGTCATCTTGTTCTTACTGCATCAAAATATGATATTTTCAAACTAAAGGAGTGTATAACTTTTCTCTGGCATATCATTTACTTTTGGGAGTTCAGATTATTTTTTGTTCATAAATTGTTTAATCACACGACATATTTTAAATAACTTACCAGACGCAGATATATGTACTTAATTCGGAGCACATGACTGGCTTTCAGTAAGATAATTACAGCAAAAAACATAAATAAATTTATGTCTTATTTTTGTAGTTGTTATATAATACATGTGTTATAACGGTTGGTTTTTCACGTTTACACGTATGGGACGTTAATTTACCTTAGACTAATATCTCCACTAGATTCCCTCCCAGTGTCTATGTTACAGGACTTCAACATAACTCAGATCAAGAACACGTGATTAGCCTGACTAGAACCTAAATATATTTCCATACAAAACCCGACACAACCCAACAACAATGAACAATCAATAATAAGTGAGTAATAATAATAATAAGGATAGGGGAATATATAACTCATCTGACACCTGTTAGACTATCTACATGTCTGATTAAGCAGACAACCAATCATTATCATTCTCGTCGACACATCAACATGGTCTTTCTTTTCATGGTTACTTAAAGATTTAATCTTTATAATTCATCGTTCTTATATTTTAGGCGTACTGGACGTGCTGGTCGCAAAGGGTTTGCCTATACTTTTCTCACTCCCGATCAGGAGCGCAGTGCTGGTGATGTTGTTCGAGCATTCAAGCAGAGTGGCCAAAAACCACCAGAGGAACTAATGAATATGTGGAATGCTTACAAGATACGAATGGAACATGTGTGTTTATGTTTATTTGTTTGTCATTGTGTGCATCAACTGTTTGTTGGTATTCTTTTTATTTTAGTGTGGTTTACTGTTAACGTATGCCAGTGTACGTTAGTGGAAAGCAACTTGAAAATGTCTACTTCTCTTGAATTAAAATGTGTTCTGAAATTATTTATTTTACAATCGGTCCTCAGCCCTCATGCATTGAACTCAACGTGCTAGGCATGCATCAATAAGCAGCAACAAATGTTTGCCATAAGTTATTTGGGAATGCCACTAAAGGTAGGATTTCAACATTTCATGGTTAACAGTTTCTCATCATTTGCAGCTGCGAAGAGGCATATTTCGTCTTTGCAATTGCAGTTTTTTTGGGCACTAACTCTTGCACGTGTTGTTCTCGCTTGATTTGGAAAAGCAATGCTTTTAACCTTAAGAAGTAACCTCAGTATAGTTCCTCAATTTTGAAAATTATTTATACTCCGATTGGAAGTGGTATAAACTTGTGTATAAAAATCAAATGTTTGATGAGTTCTGTTTGTAAGGAGGAAAAATAAACATATTTCGCTCTACGTGTCTAACACTTTCATAGCCGCTTTGAGTAGCATCTGTATTTGTTTCCAAGATTACCGTAAATTCATCCTCACAGTCGGAAAGATTGGTTTTAAGAAAGAAACTTGATTGCAGGCTAGAGATTTTCGTGTTGCAATCAAGCGTTTCTCATGCCTGTTTACTATAGTAATCGACGTTGTTTCTTAGTGAGTGTTCAATTTTACACAAATTATAAGTTTAGAGATATTACTATTTCTTAATATTTCCAGTTTAATGGAACCAAAGTAAACAACTAGATTTTAGTGTTTATGAGTTCATTTTATGTATTTCATTAACTATGTATTGATCTCATTACACTCAAATAAATCTGTTATCAGGAAGGAAAAAAGGTATACGGTTCTTCAGGTTTCCGTGGTAAAGGATTCATGTTTGATGAAGTGGAAGCTCAGCTGAATAGTGAAAAACGGCGCCTGCAGAAAGCTGCTCTTGGTCTACAAGATTCAGATGACGAAGATGGTGATGGAAATGTCGATTGGGACTCGAAGATTGAAGATATGTTGGCCACGAAAACAAAAATTAAAGATGTATCAAAGAGTAATGCATCAGAAAGTGTATCTGAATCTGTTGAAGTTAGGCAAGTTAACTTTCTAATAATATATGATTGATTACAAATCAGAATTTTTATAATGTCAAGGATGAAAAAAATGTGCTGATTAGAGAGGAAAAATGTATTTGTAAAATCTCAGCGAATGCATTGTGAAGTAAATCCAACGTTTCGCCTGCCAATCTGGTCCAAGCATTTTCAAGGAAATATAATCAAACATCGAAACTCATTCGCTGAGATTTTACGGATACATTTTTCCTCTTTAATGTCTCACATTAACTCGACGCCCAAATACTGTGAAAATATTCGATCAGATTTAGACGAAAGTTCTTATTTGTATGTACTAATTGGTTTGATCTCCATGGAAGCTCTTAAACTCATAAAAATTAACATATCACAAACATTTAACCTTTTTAGCTTTTTTCTAAATTCAAAATTCTCCTCCAGACTGAAGAACACTAGTTTTTCACGAATTGGTTCCAAATATTTCCCCAACCAAACTAAGTTTCTGTATCGATATTAAATTTAAGTCTGGTGGGAAGTACCTCATTGAATTTCACTTGTTTTCATATTACCTATGTAATTCCCTCTATTTCTAAGGAAGTCTTCGCATTAATGGGTCGTAATAATCGATCGTATTACTTTCACACTAAGTCAGTCATATTTTTTTGGCTTTTTGGTTCACTTGCTAATTATTTTCTTTATAGTTGTAAATACTAGAATAAGTTTTTTTCAAAAAAATTGTCTGGTTCCTTGTAAATACGATCTTCAATCTGATTATTAACACTTTTGAAACTACCTTGTGGAACGTAACTCATAAACTTCTGTATTTTCAATTTCAGTGCCCAAGCTGGACAAGCAGTTGTGAACGCAGCCTTAGCACTTGCTCGACAGAAGGCTGCACAGTTAGGACTCGTCAAACACTTGACTTCTGGTACTCCGACTGTTCCACAACCAAGCGCTGTTTTGAATACCACCACAGTCAGCGACCCTAATGCTACTATTGCGGCTGCGGTTGCTGCTGTCACGATACCTGTGCCTCCAGCTCCCACAAGCCGTACGTTGGCTGAACAAGCTGCCGAACGCTTAAATGCTAAACTTGGTTACACTAAACAAACACCAGGCGCTGGTGATGAAGAGGGTGCTGGTGCTAACACGAATTCGGGAAGTGACATGGTTAGAAGGTAAAATAATATTTTGCTTTCAACAAAATTATTTCCTATTTTAAAACATTTTATCTGCTTTGTATTACTGGTATCTCTAGTTTTCTATGTTCCTCGACACCGAGCAATCAAGCTTATAATATACGCACCATTATAAACTAACTTCTCGCAATCACTTCAGTTGAATTATTCTAGAGTTATCTTAGTGACCATTATCAATAATCTGATTGTCCAGTCCTGCGAAGAAACAAATGGATTCAAAAGTCGTCTTTCGAAAATAATACTATAACATGAATGATCTGTTTGATTCAATGTCTATCTAATGTAATCTCTAGTCACACTCTTTATGGTCATAAAACTGACAAATGATTAAATCTATGTTTTTGACCTTCGTGAAATGTCATTGTAAATGCTTGACCATTTCCCTTAAATTGACATGACGTAAACCATAATATCCTCGTACATAGTGTTAAGTTCAAAAATTAGTAGGTAATGGAAATTTATTCAACTCAGTGATTGGTTTTCACCAGCTCCCATTTCTTTTGACTATGATGTCTGTACCAGATTTTATTCAAATCAACTAAGTAAAGCTTATAAATAAATATATTTGTAACATCCCAATGAGTAGAAAAATTAAATCTTCTGACGTTTGGTAAGCCACTTCTTCAGAGAATAAATAACCAAACCATTGGGATATTACAAATATATTAATTTATTTATAACAATCTACCCAATGCTCAATTTATTCGAAATTATCAAATCAAACGTTGGTAATGATAACTATAAGTAAAGCTTGTTCAATTGTTTCTATGGATACTATTAAAATACATCCGGCTTATCTTGGTTTGAACAGAACGCTGTTATGCGATTGATTATGTCCGTAATATTGTTACGATATGCGTGTTGTTTAAGTTGTATAACAAAGTTTCTGATTATTGGTTGTTTTTACTGAGTAACATATTCTGTTTCCAATCTCAGTGGTGCAAATACTCATAAAGATAGTAAGACCATAAAAGATAGCAAGTAACTACAAACATTTTCTTGAAAATAACCTGATTTGATACTTGTATAATAATTCCAGATGCTTCAATACCATTCCAGATAAGCTCTGACAATGTTATCCGTAATGACGATAAAAAATTTACAAATGAACCACCTAACTCAGCAAAATTTATTTTTATAAAACTTACCTACGCTACAAATTTACTCCATTTTACATGACAAAATTATCATCTTAGATCTGAATACTTCATTAACAACGAAGAAATCTGCACAAAAGTTTCACCAAAATATCACTTTTCAGGATCTCCAGCTATACTACTTTGATGTCACCAGTTTTTCGCAACTAGTGTAATCGTATCCATTATAAAACACGAATGTCACATTTAAATTTTTTCGAAGAACATAATACTCGTGTTTATGTTTAATGGCACATTTTAAATTTCAGATACGAAGAAGAACTAGTTATCAATGACTTCCCACAAAACGTCAGGTGGCGTATCACTGGTCGCGAAATGCTCAATCACCTTAGTGACTATTGTGATGTTGGCGTGTCTGTACGAGGAGTTTATATGCCACCTGCCAAAGCTAAGCAACATATACCCGAAGGTACAGATGACAGACCACTGTATTTGTGTATTGAGGCTGTCAATGAAAGACAAGTCGCTTTGGCTAAAAAAGAAATTATGCGTATTATCAAAGAAGAATTAGTCAAATTGGTATGTATTAATTCCCAGTTTATATTTCTCTATCGGCACATTAGATTGCTGTCTGTACTGTATTTATTAAGGTATTCACTTATTATTGACATCAAGGAACAATTGAGTAACCACCAAGTTCGCAAAGCTGGAAAATTCATTTAGATCTTGGAACCTTTAGTTGTATTCATAAATTTCTCTACTAAATAACTAGAATATAACATCTCCCACTTGTTTCTTAGAGTTGTCCAAATTCTACGTGCTCGTGTTTGTACAATCTCTGTCACAAGCGTAGCTTTCAGAGTTGATTATAGTAGGATAAAGCAAATATTTTAAATCAAATTATTGTCTCCCGATTTCTCTTTGCTATAGTGCTTGAAGAATTTTTTGATCTTATTCTGTTGTTCGAAGGAAGAAGAGCTTTACTGCACTTTTTTTCACTTCCAAAACGCTTTTCGTAATATAGCCATTAAAAATTACAAATCTATCTACCTAAATTGGAAGAATTATCGTTCTCAATAAAATAAGGCCTTCAGTACACTGTAAAACTAAGTTGAAACCTGTCCGCTTTCTTGATTAAGTAGTTGTGAAATCATTCTAACAACTCACTCCTATTTTTATATATCAGAATCAACAATATTTACTTTATTAATCCGAAAAATTGTCAGGTTTAAGGCAAAATACATCGTTTAAAATTATAGTGTGTGAATGTATGATTGTAAGATGAAATATGATTGTTAATGTTGAATATACAGTATACAGTGTTAAATTGAATAAGCTTGTACGTTAAATAAAGTTGTGAAATTAATGATCAGAATAAATATGGGTCCTATAGGATAAGACAAATAATAATGCCACCACAAATTTGATCAAATATTTGGTGAACGACCATATCGTGTATAAAGTTCTATGAATCTAGTAAATAATAATAAAGTAGGGTGAGTGCTAAGTAAATTAGTCAGTGTTCAGGAGATTATGAGTGACGTCAAACAAATATTAATAAGTACAAGGATATGTAAATAAAAATTACGGAAGATTGTATGTACATTAGTCAAATTATATGATTCTATAATTAAGATTACCATTGATTGTTGTCCATGAGGTTGACTAAGGTAAGAAATATGGGTTGGATATATTTGTTTTGTACGCAGTCATGTTGCTTCTGCCGTTTAAAGAACTTCAGATCGGACTGGCTTTGGTAAAAGGTTAACAATCCGATAAATTCAATCAGTCAGCTACAATATAGGACCAGGCACATATATGCGTCAGTCCAAGTTGCCACACCTCATTAGCACAACAAGATGAGCACTGGATTCATAGAAGTAGTTAATTCAATGGTGGTAAATTACTGATAAAGATTAACTTGTACTGGCTATAGTACCAGTCTCTACTGAATAGGCTAGTATTTAGCTGTTCACTGCCTTAAGTACAGCTCTGCTTCGCCACACTGGGAGGAGTCCGCTAGCACGAAGCTGTAAATTCTTAAAACCTCAACCAATATAACTTGCTCCACAAGAGCAGTTGAATCGTTACATACAAACGAGGTGGCCACTCCACGTAATTCATCTTTTAACTTCAGTGTCACCATCGGACAGTGCTTAATGTTCTTTGGATTGTTCTACCTAATCTCTGGATTAGTTTTTCACTGGTCGCATCACCTCTGAATGGTAGAGACATGAACACGAATTTATTATTCTCCGTTTGTATTTCGTTTATTCTAACCTATGTGGTCATATATTTGTTGGTAAAATTTCCAGGTTGTCCGTTTTCCCCAAGGGTATTACAAAAGACGTTTGGTTTTTCTTTAACTAGATCAGTAGAGCATATAGGACGTATTCGGTAACTATGGGTTTTAAAAAATTCTTTGTTCATATATGAATGTCTTAATGTGACAGGGATTCCTAAAGAGCCCAAATTATTATTAATCGCATAGATATCTCCCTTCCCTTCAATATATATAAAACTTTTGTTGGTATTTTCGTTGCCTTGAGTTACTGCAATGCAAATTTTTTTCGCATATCTAACTTACCAGACTTGAAAAGAATAGTTACACAAATCGTTAAAACAATTTCGTTATCCATCAATCATGGTTGTATATGTGTGGAGTTTTTCCATTTCTGTTTCATCAACCTCATAATCACGTATAATCATGTTACTTTTTTATATTATGTTTTAGCAATCTGGCAATTCAATAAATCGCGGACGCTACAAGGTTGTTTAATTTATCATTTTAGTATTTCCATTTGAATTGTTGTACATATTCTGACAGTAATGATATCTACATTAGCAATCGCGATTTATTCTTATAAATAAATGCTGTCTTGTCATATACATCTTTGTAGTTTTATTGATATTTAAGTCGGAATTCAGACAATAATGTATTGTTTTATTTATTACATCTCTTACAACTTATTTTCTGTCTAAGGATTGTTAATTACCTCAACTCACATTTCAGTTTCACTAACAATCCGTGATTGGTTGTTAGTCAAACTTCTGTTAAATATTCTATTCTATGTTTAAGTAATATGGTTCGTCAGAAATTAGTGTTTTCGTCCGATGATCATTTAACTGATTCTATCACTGAAAGGTTTATATAAATATCTCATCTTATATGGATCCCCGTAACAATTGTAGATATACAAATACAATTGTTTGGACGCTACTTTTAAATTCGTCACTTTCAAGTTTTCAATGGTGGTCAAGCTTAAATTGACTCGTGAATTCAACTGTTAAGATTACTACAATCTCCACAAATCCCCATACTGATATTGATCATCTGCCCACTATTGACTAGCTTCAAGATGGGATATCCAGGAGATCTAGTAAGAAGCCGTGACCAGTGGAATTAAAACTTCCTCGAGTGTGAGAAAGTTATCCACCTCAGATAATAGATGGAGGGTTGCTCAAGATCATGGATCAATTGAAGTCAGACACTAACACTGTCGTATATCGGCTGAATGGTCTTAAGTTTAAGTGTGCACGCACGAGGCCGAAGGTCCTGGTTCCGAGTTCGACGTGCGGGATCATGGGTGCACACTGCTGAAGAGGAGTACCATACTAGGATGAAACGGACGTCCGGTGCTTTTAGGTTTTCAATGGTAGTCTAGTTTATATCGACTCTTTAATACAGCTCTGAAAGTACTTTCACAATTGTGAAAAAATATCCTGTAGGTCACTACATCAGCTCACTTCTCGTGAAACGAATATCAGAAGTCTTGTTTACGTTTAATTAATGAGTGACACACCCATAGGATTTATACTTGTCTAGGAAGTGGAGACAAACCTTGGTATGATAATGAAGAACAGCACTGCCCAACTTATGGAACCAATGATGGTTTTTCTTGATTTAAAAGCAGCACTCTGTAGACCGAGAGGTTCTGTGTCAGTGTGGCGAACTGTCATCTGATTTGTAATTTCAAGGTGTCTAGCAAAGCTGCCCACTCGCCATTTCAGTTCAATTTCATCATTGCCCTACTACTGAAAATAACGTTCTCGTCGTCTGAATTTTCGGGAATCGATCTTTTACCAGCACGTTCACTTATCGATTTAGAATACACAGATGATATAGTCCTGTTTGGTGAAGACGCTGATAAAATGCAGTCTTTTGGTAGCGCTGAGCAACAATATCAGAATGTTTGGGATGCGCTTCTCTCCCTCTAAATGCAAATTGTTGCTTCAGGACTGGCTTGCGTCAACGCCTGAACTGAAGATAGGGAGTGAAGCAGTCTAACGTGTCGATAACTTCACTTATCTTGGAAGTCTGATCAGCCCTGATGGGTTGGTGTCTGACGAAATCTCAGCACGGATTCAGAAAGCTCGTTTGGCTTTCGTCAACTTACGTCACTTGTGGCGAAGGCGAGATATCTGTCTGTCAATTAAAGGACGAGTGTACTGCGTAGTAGTTCGTTGTGTTTACTGTACGGCTGGGAAAGGTAATCATTAAGGTTAGACGATACCCGCAAGTTAACAGTATTCGATCACAGATGTCTTAGAAATATTGCCCACATCTGCTGGGATCACCAGGTAAGTAGTAGTGAGGTTGGAGCAGGGTATTAGGAGGTGTTCATCTTATTATGTTATTAAGATGTGGCAACTTGAACCAATGCATATATTTGTCTGTTCCTACGTTGTAGCTGGCTGACTGATTGAGAACCAGCATGAGTAGTAGAAAAAAGTATGAACAGACTGGTGTACGTAGGGTCAATGATAAGTCACCGAGTGTTAGACCAGTCAACAGTCAAGGTGGGTAGTAGACACGGTACACTGCAGATTGCTGAACGTTAGACAGTTGTCGAAACACCATTTAGATCAACCCTGAGTGGTCACTTGCACACTGTAGTCTGGCGCATGCGCTAGCGGTTGTACTACGTACTTCTGCAGCTTTTCAGTATAATAAATTTCGTTGGTGAGACCATGCTCGTTCCACGCAGCCATCAAGTAGGTAAAAAGTCTTGATATCATAACAAGATGGTACAGGTTAGTCCCCAACCGTGAAGTGTGGCTCCGATATAATTCACATCACAAGATTTCTGTCCAACTGGAGTAGATTCGTCACTCTCATGTGTGATAAACGTGTATGAATCGGACAAATATGAATTCAGATAACATTTAGCACAACGTGACATACTATTATGTATAAATCCATTTATCTAATTGGGGAATAACTTATATCTCAGGAACAAAATGCACTGTGAATATCGCTCTGGATAGTGGACACGTCTGCCCAATTTAGTTGCTTCACGGAGGTTTGTGGCTAATGCATTGCCTACTGTCAATTCCTCTATTGTTGTGAGGTCCTTTTGAAGGTGAACCTTCAGATCCCATCGTCTGTATTGATCAGTCCCACCGAGCTAAGCTTTTGTAGCAGTTAGATTGGGAACGGAAGTAGACCCAAGTCTATTCCTCATGAAACTCCTGATGCTGCTTTTTATTGCTATTATTATTAGCTCTATTCATTATTATATTTTTGGTAGAATGTAGAATTCTTAGTGCAAAGTATTTCAACAGGTTTCCGTTTCTTATTTCTTGATCGATCGTGACGATAAATATTGAGTGATCGCCAATTCGATGTCAGCAGTTCAGGAATCGACATCCGAATAATTTACATTCTTTTCGATGTACATTGCCAGCAACCACAACGACTTTGATTGTGCCCTTTTCTAACTTGTACAGCGAAAGGTCGTGAACTTTTCACAAGCACACCTGGTTACGTTGTGCAATTGATTGATATAGTGCTCTGTTGAAACAAACAAAAAATAGATAACTTGTTGAAATATCTAGATGGCAAGATCTGGTAGCCCAGATATCCAACCAGGCCTTCCATACATTCAGACCTTTTAACTTCCGTGGCCTTTTCTTACCTTGGTGCGAAACAATCTGTTATCTATGTAGCTTTGGGGTTAGGATGAGTGTGTCATTTAAACGTATCGTTACAACCTTCTTTATGAAAAGTATATTGTACTGTGGCAAAGGCTTTTTAATATCATGGAATATTAAATTGACCGGAATCTTATGTTCACAGGAAGTTGTCCAACTTCCCCATGCTATAAGGAAATTGAATACACAGAACCTGTTTTTCCTGAGCCCGTTCTGGGCTTTATAGAGCATGTTGTTTTGATCCATGTATCCTCTCGTTTGTTCATTGACCAGTCCTTTCATTACCTGCGACAGTGTTGGCAGCAATGCGGATGATCGGTAACAGGCTGGGTCCTTTCTATCTCCTTTGACTCTTGAAGTGACCTGCTCCCACCCTCTTGGCACTTAGTGTGGATCTAGTGAGTGCCTGAATGGGTCACGCCGGTATGCTAATGGCTTCTGCGCACTGTTATTACTTCCTAGTGACTGTCTTGGCGCAGGGGTTTCTGTTTATTTGATACTAACCCATAAGATGTTGGTTGTCTTCCGCAACCTAGATTTTAAAAGTGCTCTCTTCTGGTAGTGTTTTAAAAGTACTTTGCTCTTAGAAGGTGCAAAGCACATACCATACTTACGGACACTACTTGCCAACTGATTAAGTGCGGATTGCATGGCTTGGGCATTACCACACAGTAAGACAATATCATCTGCATACTCAAGGTCGAGAAGTCTTTCTCCAGGCAACAGATCCACACAGCCATTGCTTACATCCATTTGAGCTGTTTCTAGAATGTCATCGATGGCAAAGTTGAAGAAGAATGGTGAGATTGGGCAACCCTGTCTAACCCCACTGCTTGGATGGAACAATGGAGAAAGGTTGTTGTATCTCCTTATTCTGCTTTAGGTATTTGTATATAGAGTCTTCCAGATGTTAATAAGCTTTTCAGGCACACGCCTCTTCAACAGACAGCCCCAGAAAAGTCTTGTTCAACGAATCGAAGGCGGCCCTGATGTCAAGAAACACTACAATTGTTGGCCTTTATGACGGTGTTCTAACACTTGGCAGAGGGTGAAGATATGATCAATACATCCTCGACCAGAATGAAAACCAGCCTGCTTCCCGCAACCAATTTTCCACGGGTTCTGAACGATCTACGAAGTATGACGGAAGCCAATAGTTTGGACGCAGTGGGAAGTAGACTTATCTCCCGATAGTTTCTGCATAGGTGACGTGAACCCTTTTGAAAGATAGGGACAACTATCGACCAGACCAGTTGAACTGCTCCTCGAAGAATTCTGCCTATCGACCTAGACGTCGATGGATGTTAGTGATTGGCATCCCGTCATCCTCACAGATTGTTTCACTCACACCAGACTTCTTGCTACCAGTTGGAAGAGCTTCCTGCAGTTACGAGATGCAGCTGTTGCTTCAAACTCGTTGGAACGCTCCAACCACCAGACTTCTCGGTCCTGACACAAGCTTTTCCCAATTTCATTACGTAACAGTCGTCGTTTGTAGTCGAACTCACGGTCACCCAGAGTAGACCGGCGGGCTTCATTGAATTGTAAGGAGCCAGGAGAAACCTAGTGCTTACAAGCGGGACGTTTCGCGAAGCCGCATACGACTTTACTCGCCATTTTCATGGCGTCACGCAATTGCAGCCAATGCTCATCTATACGTTTCGGTGGATTGCTAGCTAGCCTAGAAGGTAGCTCGGTTTGATACTTACATGCAACAAAAGTTGCTACCAACTTGCGGAAATCAATCCTTTGGTGGCAGTCACTTCGCTGACCACTGAAAAGTAAGGTAAGATTGGCGCAGTCCAGGGCATGATCAGAGTCCAGATAAGTACTCCAAAAGGAGCGGCAGTCTTGTACACAACCACGCCAGCGGTAGCTAATCGCGATGTGATCAATCTGAGTCCAGGCTCGAGATGAAGAGGGAGGACGCCAGGTGGCACATCGGCGATGACTG